CTGGCAGAAGTGTGTTGGTGGGATGCTGGTGGCTTTCCCATAGTTTATCTCCACCGGTGATATAACGGAGGACAAGATTTCCGGTATCTAATAACTGTGCAGTTGTATTCACCCCGGAAGTTCCCCTTAAACTACATTGTAAACTACACCAAATAATCTCTTTATTTCCATTCATGATAATAAGATTTCCGTCTGTGGATATCGAGAAGGTCCCGGATGAGTCATTGAGAGGCCTATCTCGATTAGCAACCCAAGCAACTGTATCTTTAGAAACTTTATACCATATGCCCAAGTAACGCCGAGTGGTGCCATTGGGGCTGAAAAATCCCAACGTGAAAATCTCGCCGGAAGAAATTATAGTATCAGAATCTTTAAGCACTACACCGGCGTGAATGGTATCTGTTTGTAGGCAAAACCCATTACCATAAAGACCAAAAATCATTACCAGGAAGTTGAGGAAATTTCTACTGCTGATCATGATTCTACGGGAGTATAAATGGCATCATAAAAACCCAATTTTGCTAACAGGAAAATGTGAGTGCCTATGTATAAAGAACCCGCATAGATTAATTTGTTGTTTTGCTTATTGAGCAGGAAATTTCCTCTGCATTGGGACAGCGAATTGATTGAACGGAAATGAATATGAAATGTACCTTAAAAGGGTTAATCTCATCAGATAATGATTGATGTCACCACCGATGGTTCCTTTAAAAATCAGGCCAATATTTCCACATTGACTAAACATTCATTGCATATTTTCAAATTGGCTTATTTGAGTTCAAAAAACAAAAATGCCCTTAAGTTTATAAAACAATTACAGAATATGATTTTGTTAAAATCACAATATTACCATTTAGTTAACAAATAAAAACTAAATATTCCCTACTTCAAATTTCAAAATCAGCTCCAACATAGATAAAAACTCTCTCATCTTGCTGAAGAAAAAAACTGTTTTCTGTCAATCACTTCGAATCGGTAAGTATATTTACGTATGTTTAATTTCGTTTTCGTTAAATGTGTATACGTTTTTAATCGATAAATTATAATTCGACAGACAGATAAATTTTTTTAGCAAATATATAATTTCTTTAAGCACGAACGAAAAAAAAATTCATCTCGATGTTAGAAAAAACAACCGTCTGAACATCGGATAAAACAGTTGGCAGTCCGGCTGTCAGTAGCCGAACCGTCGGCTGTTAGATGGCTGTTAATATAATTTTTTTGTTTTTAATAAGTTTCTATTCCTACTGTGAGCCGAATTTTTGAATGAATAAACTACAAATTCTGTTTTATCATGCAGATATGATGATTGTACTCCCAATTTGTTATTTTAGTGATTTTGAATTGGATGAAAATAATCGATGGACATGGAAATGGACGAATGACATAAAAGATGGTATGTGATAACCCAAGAATAACTAACCAAGAGGGGGGTGAATTAATTTTTGAAACTTTTTCGACACTTAGCCTAAAAATAATACAATACACAAGATATAACTGCAAAGTATAACACTAGAATTAAATATGCAAATTCGATAACTTAATTCAAATGTGGATATATCACAATATAAATGACAATGTAAAGTGAAGTGCAATAATGTAAATATAACAAGCCAATTTAATGTGGTTCGATATACAATGTGTTCTACGTCCCTGTTACCAAGCTCTCTGCATGAGCAAGGCCAAATGTACTATAATAATAACTTACAAACAAGGAGTACCGATCCCTAAGTACTTACAACAAGGAACACTAATCCTTAGATGACTTACAACATGGAGCACACATCCTTAACAATAATCGAGTTTTCACAAGGCTCTCGAAACCAATAAAGTATAAATGATAGTTTTACAATTGAA